GCTTGAGGAAAAAGAATTTACGAAACTATATGGACAACTGGGGTGGGTGCAAGAGGAAAGAGGTGCGATTTGAATGTCTGAACGTGTTTCACAGTACTGCGTCAGCCATCGCGCGACATTAACGCTAGCAGAGGCCTTCATTACTTTTTAACGGTCAAAAGTAAGTATTTTGATTCAATTTCTTTTAATAATTGTTGTTATATGTGTACAGATAGAGTAATGACTGTTTTTCCTCATTATAAGCTAAACATTAGTAGTTATATAGCAGTAATTACTTTGTACGTAGATTATTTTGTATTGTCATGGCGATTGTTTTTTTGCGAAGGAGTGCGTTGGGTACAGTTGTGACATATTTCTTGGGTTGGGTTGTGACACGTAAAATTTTGTTTTTTTTTCTTTTAGATGCCCAGAAAATGCTTGAGGAAGACCGAAAGAGGGCAGTGTGACATAACAAAATATGAAGACGCTTATAAAGAAGTGAAACGCGGAACTTCTTTACGAAAAGCTGCGGAAATGCACGAAGTTAATCGCATGTCTTTGTTACGATATATTCGCAAACGCGATGGGGCCGATGGGGATCACAATGAAGACAGCATCCGTATGGGGTATGTCGCTCATAATAAAGTATTCTCTGAGAAGCAAGAACAGCAGCTGTCAAGATATATAACACGTTGCGCAGAAATATATTTTGGCCTTTCTTCTAAAGAGGTACGTAAGTTAGCTTTGAGCTGACTACCAAATACAATCTCAAGCGACCTGGTACTTGGGATGAGAATGAAATGGCAGGTGAGGAATGGTTTCGTTCATTCATGAATAGAAATCCTTCACTGTCTGTTCGTGTGGCTCAAGCTACTAGCCTTTCAAGAGTAACAAGCTTTAACAAAACAAATGTGGAAGCTTTTTATGACAATTTGCAAACTGTTATGGACAGGCACACCTATGAACCGCAGGATATATACAATGTTGACGAAACAGGCGTCACTACCGTCCAAAAACCTGATAAAGTCGTAGCTAGACGTGGCATACGACAAGTGAGATCCCTTACTTCAGCTGAACGAGGCACACTAGTGACGGTTGCGTTTGCAGTAAATGCCTTGGGCAATGCTATGCCTCCTTTATTTGTATTTCCACGAGTCCGTTTCACGATCATTTTGTTCGCAACGGACCAATAGGATCGATTGGTACAGTAAATCCTTCAGGATGGATGCAAGATGCATCGTTCCTAGTATTTCTCGAACATTTTAAGAAGTTCTCTAATGCTTCTCCAACACATAGAGTCTTGCTACTGCTGGATACCCATTCTTCGCATATCCATATTAATACATTGAATTTTTGCGAAGAAAATGGAATCACTTTGCTTTCATTTCCTCCACACTGCTCGCATAAACTTCAGCCTTTGGATCGATCTGTTTTCGAACCCTTGAAAAAAGCTATAAATACTGCTTGTGATGGATGGATGCGGAGTCATCGTGGAAAAACAATGACAATCTACGATATACCAGGTATTATCAAAACTGCTATGCCTCTGGCTTTCACTCAAGCGAACGTTCAGGCTGGTTTTTGCAAAACTGGTATTTATCCGTATAATCCTAATACATCCCAAGAAATTGACTTTGCACCATCTTATGTAACTGACAGACTAAATCCTGACACTGGAGGAAACAATCCTGTAGCTAACAATGAGATAACTGTAGATAACACTGCTTCCAAGACTACTTATTGCTTTCAAAGACTTTAATAATTGTTTGGAAAACACACCTACCTAGTGCTTCCAGAATGTTAGATACTGCTGGAAAAGACTAATAACTACTTGGAAAGAAGAGATATGCTCTCCAAAAAAGGTATCTACTGCTTCCAAAATGCTAGATACTGGTGGAAAAGATTACAATCTGCTTGGAGAAGACTGTATAGTGCTAACAAACAACTACAAACTCATTAGAAAGACGAGATACTGCTTCCTTAAAACTACTTACTGCTTTCAGAGCGCTATATACTACTAGAAAAGATTACGACCTGCTTGGAAAAGACTAAATACTGCTGGAAGAAACAATTATCTGCTTGGAAAGACAAGATACTGTTTCTAAAAGACTATTAACTACTTTCAGAATGCTAAATATTGTTGAAAAAACTACTGATTGCTTGAAGAAAGCTAGATATTGTTTGCAAAACCTATTTAAGGTAAAAGCACCAGTAGTTGACACTGCACTAGTAGTTGACACGCATGAAGAAAAAATAAATTAACAAGAGAAACACAGGCGGCAAAAGATCGAAATATGTTTGTCTATGTAGCATAGTTCTCTAGCGACGTAAATACAGACTATCGCACTATTAAGTACAGCGCCAGTGACCGTCTGATTACAACGAGTACATGGTTTTCATTTGATTATTGTAATATGCTTGTGAAGTTTGCTAAGAATAAGCTGAAAGGTAAGCATTGCAAATGTTAACATTATTTTATAATTTTGATTAAAAATCCGTTTAGTTGTTCGTTTTGGACTCTAAAACATGTATTCATTTTTTGGTGTCTTTGGTGTTAAGTATTAGAGTTACAATGTAACTCTAATAGTTGACCCAACCCAATCCAACCCAGACGCTATCACTCTCCCGTTTAACACCGAAGGCGATAATTCAGGGTCAAAAGGCGAAGAACGCAGACGGTTTTGAAAAGAAGGGCTTCGGTTTCTCAATCAGAGTATTCCTGAAAGCAAGCTCAATATATTTCGTAACGGCAATCGAAATAAAGAGTTGGATGAAAAAGATATATCACTCTTTGAACTGTCGCAGAACACAAAACTAGAACTAGAAAGGAGATTGCTAGATGCATCTGGTCCTACCGATAAAACCATTTTTTATTTTAAATCATAACTACTGAAAATAAAGAATGTCAACTACTAGATATTCTTATTTTCGCTTGGTGCCAACTACTGGCCCAGTGTCTTTTTATATACTTATATATATATATAAAAATCACAGTGATTTTATTAATGTAATTTTTGTCACATTATAATAGGGGAATAGTTTGTACAGCTATCATTAATTAGAAGTTTCCCCTAAAGTGAATTCAGTCCAAGTTCTGTCAACAACCACACTAATAAATCCTTAAAGTGTCAAGTACTGGTGCTTTTAGCTTAATGCTATCAGAAGACTCTATACTGCTGCCAAAACACTACTAAGTGCTTGGATATTACAGTACTACTGGCTGAAGACTATTTACTGAAACTATTCTTGTGTTGAGTGATATCTTTCTGCGTCCTTTCCATTACAGATTTAAAATTGCTGCTACAACACACCATTCTTTGTCACCCACATGCGGCATACCTTTTTAGACATTCGGACCCACCTAATTTACTGATTTATTTCAGAATTTTGTATAGAAATTCCATTTTGAGTTAGGTTAATTAACATTTAAACCAGTGCGAATTTCTCAAATGTCAGGTTGGGCAGAGGGTGGGTTGTAAATTTCGGGTTGGGTTAGCCGTGCATCTTCAGACAGAAATTACATTAAACTCGATACTTTCTAGTTGTATGTCTAGTGTTAGTTTTACACTAACACTATAACAAAAATTTTCGCAAGACCTAGAACTGCAATACTAGAAGTAACAATAGAATGAGAACTAGAATCATTCGGGCTTAGCCGTCTTGAAAGACGTGCGGCTAAATCAGAATGTTTCTAGTTCTCATTCTATTGTTACTTCTAGTATTGCATTAGCACTATCACTAGAAGTAACACAAGACCTAGAAATAGAATCATTCGGGTTTAGCCGTCTTGAAAGACGTGCGGCTAAATCCGAATGTTTCTAGTTCTCAGTCTAGTGTTACTTCTAGTATTGCAGTAGCACTATCACTAGAAGTAACATAAGACCTAGAACTAGAATCATTTGGGTTTAGCCGTCTTGAGACGTGGGACTAAATCCGAATGTTTCTAGTTTTCGGACTAGTGTTAGTTCTAGTATGGGGTCATACACACTTATTAAATTGAGAGAAAATTTTTATGTCAAACGATATATGCAAGTATATGCATGAACACAAAGTAAAAGAAATATTTTGATCAATTTTATATTTTGCGTAATTTGAAGTGAAAAATAGCAAATATTCAAACGAAATAATTTCGCGGCTTTTCTGTGACGTAGGAACCACACTGCCTAAAACAAGTTAAATTGTCCGTTAGATAGCGCTTGCGGTGTGACAGTGTCAAAATAAAACCATGGATGTAATAGAGTGTCTCTATTACATCCATGAACAAAACATAATAAACATAACCTACAAACACTCTATCTCCTTTCAATACAACCTAAATGACGTTCATTTCTTTCTCGCATTTGAGCGGGTAGCAGGGGACGCAAAAGTGAGAATCGTACGTCATCAACGAGGGAATTTTAAAAGCGCAAATGGGTATATAAATTTTCAATAATTTTTTTAACAATGACTTTGTTCGAAAATATTAAAAAAAAAAATAACGGCAACTATATTTTTATATAAACTTTCAGAAAATATAATAAAAAAAAAATCGTGTATGACCCCATTAACACAGAGTCTATTGACACACAATCTATCTAACGACAAGTAGTCAGTCGTTATGCATCGAAAGCCTAATAAACAAGGTTTCATCTCAAAATATACGTTGTAATCTCACCTAGAATAGCGAAAATAACTTTACTTTTAAATTTATAAAATTGATTTGCTATAAAATAAACAATTTGTAGGTTAGGTGTTGACCGGTTTAATAGGAAACTGCATGGTTAATATTGCTTGTGACGTGACGTTTTGTGACAATCTAAATCTTAACGTGTAATTTCAAATAGATTTTTTAAGCAACATAATGCTTCGTGAATTTTTCCAAAAATCTCAATTACCGATCAAATGTAAATAAAGA